GAGAGAGAGAGAGAGAGAGATGGGGGGTTATTTTGTAACAAATAAATGTCCACGTGTAGATCTAAGTAGGGATAACTGTGTGTGTAGTTCTGAGTAGTGTAAGTCTATGCCTGTGTTACAATCTTCTAAGGCCTGACCTGAGTATCGCCCAGTATGTCAGGCCTCATGGTCAAGACGTTGTTCACGATGTGGATCATCCCATTTGAGGCAACGAAGTTCCTCCCAACAACCTTCGCCTTTGCGGAGGCCCCATGAAGCTTGTACTTAAAGACATCCTTTGCCTAAGGGAAGGAAACAAATGAAATATGTTTCAACGTTTAAAGTTCTTTTAAAAAAACCAACAAAGTTCGTACAATAGAAGTCCTGTATCAACGTTTCATTGCCGCAACTGTTATAGATAGATTGTGCACTTACTCAAAACGAGGCTTTGTGCAATTTCTGTTGTAATTTTAACAGAAACCTTGGAATAAAAATAAATAAGGAGCAAAAACAACAGCCTTTCCACCACGTATCTGTAAAAAGTACGCTCTACAGATGAACACGGACAACAAGAGCTGAAAAATGTAATTGTTTATTCCAGATCTAACATTCTGATGTGGTGTGTTCAGCTTTATCTATTTCTAAAAATTTGGGTTCAGAAATCGAATTTTTTGTTCCTTGGCAACCCGAACCTTCTCTTTCCAACCTATAGTTTCAGTGGTTACAAGTCAATAAGACTCTTATCATAATACCGTCTTTAAACATATTAGCTTGTAGCGCATGCTATAAAAGTTGCACTACCCCCCCCCCCCGAATTCTGGTTTTGAGCAGTCTCATATTTAGATGCCGTATGTCTTCTCAATTCAGCATTATATAACTCTATTTTGGGGTTCAAGTACTTGAAAGAGATAAATAGGGTCATTAGCTCCGAAATAATGTCAGTAGGTCAATTTGTAAGAGTATGTCAAGTAAGCATCGTGAATTCTCTTTTTCATAAAAACAAAAATTTAGCCGTTTTGACATGTGAGAGTCATTAAAATCTACTCAGCGCATGGCCTTAAACGAGAAACATGTAAAGCTAACAAGGCCATCAATATTGAAAATAATAAAGCTTGTTTCTTAAGTAACCGTGCTTATTAAATGTCAAATTAACTCTCAAAAATGAATACTTCACTTGTTTCATCATTTCAGTTAATTTAGTTAGAGTATTATGCGATCGCAACTGCAAAAGGTCATGTGAGCGCGATTCATCATTTCATTTTCAACCTTACCACTCTAATCTGCAACAAGGCTTGGTTTCCTTGCAGTGTGTAAAACTGGTCGTAAGCTTGAAGATCCTCCAATCGGAACTGGCCAATCAGAATGTGCTGTCTCAGTATCTGCAGGGCGCGATCTGAGTTTTGAACGAAGTTCTCGAAGCCACGGGCTCTCATGACGCCTCTGAAAAGACGGACAAAATACTATGATGGAGGTTGAGGTCAAATATGTACGGATTGAGTTTCTCCTCCTCCTCCTCCTCCTCCTCCTCCTCCTCCTCCTCCTCCTTCTTCTTCTTCTTCTTCTTCTTCTTCT